CCAAGCACAACACGGGAAGAAACAAAGAGAGAGAGAGAGAGAGAGAGAGAGAGAGAGAGAGAGAGAGAGAGAGAGAGAGAGAGAGAGAGAGAGAGAGAGAGAGAGAGAGAGAGACATGAAACAAAAATAAGACGCCATCAGCGAGTGTCGCTGTGCGCCACGGCGTAGCCGTGGCGGGGTCCACTTGTTTTACTAAAAGCAGAAAAGGACATTCACGTGGGACAAAACCACGACTGAAATGAAGACGAACAATGACAAGCTACAGTATTATGCCCCGTCAAGTTGCCTCGTGAATAGTGTTTTCTCCTTTTGGATTCTCCTCTTCAAGTTGTTCGCTTGATTTTAGCTCTTCCCTCAAAGTCACCTCTTTCCTCCGCTCCTTGCTGGTGTTAACAGGTAAGTCGTGGCTTCAGTTTCGAATATTGTCCAGTTGGCGAAAGGCTGGAGCACAAGAGGGTTCACCTTCGAATCAATAAAAACGTGATGGTCCCGATCAATGTTGAGTCCCGGTCATACCTCCCTTCTTTCTTCCTTTCTCCCTTCTTTGGCTGTCCTGAACGTGGTTGCTCCCTAGCTCCATTCTTCTCTCCCTCTCTCCTCCCTTTCCCTTCTCTTCTCTCAACCCTCCTCTATCTTCCTTTGCTCCTTGGCATCCCTCTCTCTTGACTTACACGTGGACCACGCCCTTAGGCGTGGCTTAGCAAGCTGCCACATGATTCATCTCCCTACCCCGTCTTCCTGCGGGCCCAAACTTCACGTTTGAAACCGTAATTTCACACGGCGAAGCATACGCGCCCGGTGCCACCGGGTTCGCCCCGGACTAGGCCAGCTCGGTCCCACTCACTTGGCACAGCGAAGTCGTGTTTGCAATAGCGCTAACCAGACGGCACAGTCCGTCTCCTTTCTCTAATTATCCATTCTTCAACTTCTTAACTAGCCAAACTTGAGGGCAACTATGGTGCCAATGGTGCCTGCTCACTGCCCAAGGACCAATTCCTTGCCATGCTCCTATTCTCCTGCATATACTGCGCAAATACTGAATCCATGCATTCTAACTGAGGTGGGGACTAACAGAAGACCTGAGCTGCTACTACTTCCGGCCCATGTGTGGGACAAAATGGTTCTCACCCTCATCTGTCCCACCTCTGATCATCCCCTAGCAGGTCAGTGGGTTACCAGAGGACCCACAGAAACTGTACGTGATCATCTACTCCCTTAGTCAGCACTATGGGACATGGGGTGAACTCTAGCCTATCTAGGCAGTCACTAAGTCTCAAGGTCCTATTTTAGTCATCTGAAGCTTTACCCAGGAACTCTGCACGGAGAATGTGTGGAGTGCTGCACATGAAGGTGGATTCCTTCAGAAATGCCTGATATCCTACTGATTTTACAGAGAGTACACGATTTGAAACAAGATCAGGCAGAGCACCACAGAAACTTACTATAAAGTTATAAATAAACTTAGTATAAAGCCTTTTCCCTTTGAGATGAGGACAGAGCACGGTGCACAGTTGCTCATTGCAACATGTAGTATACGATAGTGGCTATTTCAGCCTTTTCAGGATGACTTTCATTTTTCTTTTGTTTTCTCTTCCATCTTTTTTTTTTTTCCCAACATGGCTTTCATTCCTCATAAAGGAGTGGCTATTTCAACATGACCACAACATGTATTGTGGCTATTTCAAGATGTCTTTCACTCTTCATGAAAAGTGATTATGTCAGCATGTCTATAATTCTCCTGAGTATGAATGGAATCAGGCGGCAGGCCGACGACACATACCACGAGGATTAGTTTTCCATTGAGTTCTTGGGCCGCCTGAGGTATGTCTGGGCGCACTGCTGCTAGTGGCACTGGTGGTGCCTCCGCCCCTGGAGTGCCACCTGATGACGGCAATGATATTGTTTGACCGGAAGACACCATGGAAGATCGCACTTCCTTTGCTTTCTTGGAGTCTGCAATTGCAGCAAAGCAGCTTAATATTGTTTTGGAAACCAAGGGTTTCGCAATGACCTTGTCAAAACCTAAAGATCGGGCTTTCTCGTCCTGGGACTTACTCCTGCAGAGTGCAATCAGATGAAGGGTGAGTGTGGTTGCCTCCTCTGATCCAAGCCTGTTTGCAATGTCAGAGATCATGAGCTCCTTCCAGTTTGGGGAACCTCGAGATCCAAAGGAGGAAGTTTCAGCCTCACTTACTAGTTCACCATCTACCATCACGATCACAGTATCCCTAGTTACAACATCCTTAACTTCCATACCCCGCTGTAAGTTCCCAGCACCTCTGCCAGACTGTGAATCTGTTGCCAGTGACTCGGACAACTGCACATCCTCAAGGGAAACCGGCTTGGATTTTTGTGCCATTGACTCTTCAACAAGCTTTTCAATGGCGTCTTCTATCCGCTGCACCATGACAGCATGAACACCCAGTCCTCGAAGAAGGCCTGCAACAATTTGTTGTCGGACCACATTGGTGTCAACGAGGAAGAACCTCTCTCCTCGCAGCTTCTCAGTGCTTACGGCCAGGATAGCTCCGATGGTCATACCCGATGGTGCAGGAATGTTCGCCTGTGCATCTGCACTTCCCATCTCCCCTTCAACAGTGGGTTTGAGTGATAGCGATGCCCGTTTGAAGCTGCTCCTCCTGTCCGAATGTCTTGCATCAACTTCTGAAGTCGTGCCAGACCCCTGCGGGTCGCCGGAGCCATTGTTTTGAGCAGGTACTGTCGACATAATAGGTTCCGTAGGGGCACCTTGTCCAGCACGTTCAACTGCTGGTGCACCACCCTGCAGAGTGTCATCCTTTGTCTTACCCTGTTCTATGGAATTTGGACCACCTGCAACATCAGCCTTCTGCTCGCTATTCCCCTCTGACTTCAAGGGATTAGGCATTGGCAACATATTACGCAAAGGGATGAGACAATACATGACAGTTCCTACTCCCTGCAGAGATTTGAAACCTATCTGACCACCCATCAGAGTAACGACACCCTTGCAAATGGCAAGCCCCAACCCTAAGCCCGCAAGCGCATTGCTTTTCGTCATGTTTTGGCCATCGCTTTTCAGCGGGCTTTGAGAACTCTCTCCAAATGGTCGAAAGATCCGACGATATGCATCCAACCTTACACCTGGACCAGTGTCCTGCATCATTGAAACGAGATGAAAGTCATATCATAAGGAATCTGTCCTTGTCTTTCCTTACCTGCCTTTCTCCTTGTATTTCTTTTTATTGCAATGATCCCCAGAGTTGCAGTCTGAGATTTTTGCATTTTTCTGAGAAATGCAGTCTGTTGTCTCATTTGCTCAGATTTCTGAGTCTGAATATGTTTTTCCGTGCTGCCTGTGTATCTGACAGTCTATGTGGTGCTTGCTGGTTCGTAAGCAACTCTGTTCTCGTGCTGTGATTTCTGTGTCCCGAGAGGGGTAGAACAGTAAGAAGATATAGCTACATTGGTACTGAAATTGGACCAAGTACGTCATGATAGTCCAGGGGCCGAATTTAGGTAGATATCAGGTTAGGTTCAGGCCCCGGAGGTGAATTGCCGGTCGCAGTGTTAGGTGAATTGCCAGTCGCAGTGTTCCTGCCCAAAGGAAGGAACTTCCGGTAGGTCCTACCGCACCGGTAGACGCTGAGAGTACCCGGGTAGAGGTACTGAAGGCCAAGAGTCAGAAGTCTGTCATTCCCTGCGATGAGTAGCCCAGACATTCCCCAGCAGTCATGCTGATGCTCTGCCCTCAGGGAGAGGGAGGCAGAGTACTGGGTTGGAGCAGGAGGAACTGAGGGTGAGAAAGAAGACCTTCATGGGTATGCCGTAGTAGTAGAAGGGAGTAGACCTAGGCTATGGAGGTAAAGAGGAAAAAAAATCAAGCGAGACCATGAAGGTAGGCGGAAGAGGTGAACCGGCAAGGGACACTCACCTTTGGCTATGGCGGACCTTCATCTCCGCTTCTTTCGTTGGGCTCTCCATATGGAAGTCCCCAGCCGGTTGGACATGAACTTCTTTCCGGGAGTATGGCTATGATGGACAGAGATGGGAGAGGCATGATAGTATGCCTTGTCCATCTCCTTTGTGCACATGGATGAGCTACCAGACCTAGTATGCAACCATCAGGTGAAAGACTGACCTAAACAAGAGCTCTTTGAGTGGCCGCAATAAGGGGGATCAGTTGAACATTGATTCTTGTTCATCATTTATTTTAGTATTTAATTGTTTACAAGATGGGCCAGTGCGGCTTTGCCAGCATTATACACCGTCTGAGAAACCACAATAAATAAAGGCTACAAATTTGGATAGCTCCACTTGACACCCACACCAGTACGGAATGCTAAGGTACAGAATTCCATAATCATATGGCACTAAGACACTCGGCGGAACACAAATGCACACTCCAAACCCTTACACATCAGCACAAATCAACGATACACGATGGCACTACATACAAAGACACAGAACCAATCCAGGAAAGACATCAATGAGCCCATTTTTCTTCCACCACCAGCAACACCTTTTCCCATCATTTCACACGAAACTACACACAAAGAAACAGTAAACACAGACGAATGACAAATGCGAGCGGAGTGAACGAACCACGGAACTCAATCTAATTCTCACTGTGTATAAAAGCAGAACAAATCACAACTGGCAGTCCACAATACGAAACATGACAACAACTTGGTACTGATTAACCAAAAATGAACCCAAATGCAAATTCCAGACATGAACACAATACCCCAGAATTCTTGACACCCCACACAACTAAAACCTTACCACCCCCCTAGCACATTATCAGCACTCAATTAGCCAAAAGTATGTACATTGTACAGTGGGCCAGCAACAACTTCCCTGAGCTCGATGAAATTCCTTCGCAACACCAAGACTCTCGACATCCAGCCAGTGAGCTGCACAATTCTCATGTTCTTTGGAGTTCATGGTACGCAGGTTGCCCTAGCGTATATAGTGAACCGACAGTTTCCACTACTGGAGTTCTCACTACAGCTTCCTCAGCTGCAGTCCCCCGTACTATACTTTTTGCTGCTACAGCTTCCTCTACTGCAGCTCCAGCGCAAAGAACATCACAGTCTCTCCGATACTCACGTCTTTTGTTTTGAAATCCTGCCCAATATGCCCCCCTTTCATCTCTTTCTGTGCTTGGCTGCAAGCGGTTGCGTTCCTCCTCGCCACCCCCATCTCCTCCACGATCTCACTTGCGAACAGACTCTTCGGTTTCCATTGTTTCCATTGTTCCACCTCCGTTGCCAGGGACATGTTCATCTTCTGTTTGCAACCCCACAACTCCCTTATTGCGTATCATCGACGACATCCGCGGCATCGCCACTTGTTCGGGGATCAGCAGCCTGCCCAATTCTCTTTGTGCCCGCTCCACATGTGGCGGGCCCACCAGGTGTGGTGCTCCGGCAGAGATAGAGATGGAGATGAAGGAAGAAGGGGGAGCGTGATGGCACAGCGCAGCTCCCACGCCAGACTCCAACACACGTACTCCAAACTGTGCGAATGCAGAATGAGCGAGAAAACAGACAACAGCTGGGGTATACCCCAGCGGACTGACGGGACTGGACTGGACTGGCTGGTACCGACAGAGGTACCGGCCTGGACTGGACTGCCCCGAATAAAACACAGGCCTGTGAGAGCAGGCCAAGCCCAGGGCGGGTTCTTCCAGAGGAGGGTGGAGGTAAGGACATAGGAATACCTAGCGTATCCCTGGATGAAATTACTATAGTAGCTGGTAAGGCCTAGGAAGCTGCGAAGCTGCTTGGCGGATGTGGGGACGGGCCACTCCGCAATAGCAGTGATCTTCGCGTCGTCCATGTGGAGACCCTGGTCAGACACGTAGTGTCCTAAGAAATCCACTTTGGGCTGGGCAAAGCGGCACTTGCTCAACTTGGTGTAAAAGCCATTTCTGCGCAAGCGGTCAAGGACGTCGCGGAGGTGTTTGAGGTGCTCCTCAAGGGTACGACTCTAGACCAGGATATCCTCGAGGTAGACGAGAACGTACTGCTCCAGGATGTCCCTGAAGATGTCGTTCATCGCCCTCTGGAAGGTAGCGGGTGCGTTGGTGACGCCGAATGGCATCACCGTAAACTCGTAGTGGCCGAAGCGTGATCGGCTGGTCCGCTGTAGCGACGCGGATTTGATGGTAACCGCTACGAAGATCAATCTTCGTAAAGAAGCGGTTGCCTGCTAGGCGGTCGAACAACTCGTCAGAACGAGGCATGGGGTAGCTGTTCTTAACCGTGTAGCGGTTGAGACCGCGATAGTCGATGCAGAGACAGAGAGTTCCATCCGCTTTGCGAGCAAAGAGGACGGGTGCACCCCACGGAGAGTTGTTGGGTTTAATGAAACCCAGTCTCAGGAGCTCCTCAAGCTGACGCTTGAGTTCAGTGGCCTCGGGGATCGAGAGTCTGTAGGGTGCCTGGTGGTGAGCACGATAGTCAGACACAAGCTGGATGGAGTGCTCAACGTCGCGCATCGGTGGGATGCCAGCGTACGAGAACGACGATGGGAAAACGTCGTGGTACTCTCGAATGAGGTCACGAACTGCGGGTTCCAGGTCAGCCGTATATCGTGCAAGTTCCTCAGCGTCAGCGTCAGAGCGCGACGGCGGGGTGGACTCGACGGATGGCGGAGGGTGGGAAGTAGAGATGGGAGTCATGGAGATAGAAGGAGGATCTGGCTCCAGAAGGATGAGCTCGGCGTCGGGACAGGGTGGATCATAGTGTAAGAGATCCGTCACGTTCACCATAAAGAAGGTGACGTCGTCCTGTCGGATGAAGTGGGCGAACTGCCGAGGCGAGGTGACAGTGATAGAAGGAGATGGTGTGGGCATGGAAGGCTCCGGGGGAGGAGGATCGGGGCGTGGTGTCGCAGTGGTACCTATGAAAGGTACGCGATACGTCTGTCCACACTTCGTTTTGAGAAYGAGAGTGTTGGTCGCCCAATCGGCCTCGGTGCTGCGGAACCGACGAGACCACGGAGTACCGAGAATGAAGCCGTACCCCGTCTCCATCACATCGAAATGTGCRGAGGAGCGGTGGCGACGAGACGCCGGGGGACGATCAGTCGGCTCGAGAGTGAGGAAGAAAGGGAGGTCCGTGACCGTCTGATCGAAGAAGCGCTGGGTCTTGTCATCCCCTAGGGTGATGGAGATGGGAGTCGGAGACCTTGTCGTGGGTAAGCGGGCTTCTTTTACCACACGTGGGTGAATGAAGTCACCCTAAGAACCGGAATCCCACAGCGCTGAGTACACCCTCGTGGAGGTCCCCAATCGTACTGGAATGATCGGGAGGGTGCGATCAGGGTCAGAGAGGATGGTGAGACGTAGTGCAGTGACATGGAGGGTGAGTCTCTCCTGACGAGCCTGAAGCATGCTCAAGTCCAGAAGAGAGGACACAACGTCCTCGCGAGTCACAAGCTGCTCGCTGCAACGGGTTGAGCGAATGGCTCGACGCGTCGATAGTCGCGGCGGGGTAGGAGGGGAGAAGGTCTGCAGAGGCGCAGACGGTACTGCGACAGAGGGCTGAGTACACTCTGTCGGGTCCTGTGAGACCTCAACTCCAGTAGCGAGAGGGGCAAACCGCGACGGGGATGTCGGGAAGCCGACTACTGAGGAGGGCGCAGGTGGACACTGCACCGTGGCTAGGAGGCGCCGCAGGGTTGCGAGGCACCTGGGGGGGACTGAGCACGACGCTGGCGGGAAAGGTCAGCGTAGTGGCGGTCGGGCGGCAATGTAAGGGCACCGCGAGGAGGTATGACCGTCCTAGCGGCATCGCAAACACCCACGCCGACCCAAAATCGCCGCGCGCTCCTCAGCGGAAAGAACACCGCGAGGAGGAACAAAGCCCTGAGGGAGGTCCTGCTGAGGGACCTCGGGGGGGGATGCGCCAGCGTGACCGGGGCGGCTGCGTGCCCGGGAGAGGGCGGAGAGGATGAGCTGGAGGCGCTCCGCCATAGGGAGAGTAGAGTCCTCCAGGTGGTAGTGGACGGCCTCGCCGAGGTCGAGGTCGTCGCTATGGTCACCCTCTGGCGACAGCAGGGCAACAGCGTCCTGCTCACCATCCTCGAGCGCGTTGAAGCGGCGCGAGAAGTGGGGGCCCTGCTGCGGGGAACGACAGGGGCGACCGCGGAAAGGGGAACGACGTTGGGAAGTGTCGTGAGAGGAGGAGGAGGCGTAGCCAGTGCGCTGAGGCTGGGAGGAGGAAGGCGGGGTGAAGACGGGCCCGCATTCGCTGATGGTCCCTGGCGGCCTCGTAAGCCTGCGGGGCCGATGTGAACTCGTACCACCATAACTCGGAGCGGTACTCGAGCGGAAGGCTGGCCAAGAAACGATCGATAAGGGCAGCCTCGGGGAGGAACGCCACGTCACAAATGAGGTGGGCGTCCTGAAAGACCTGGATGTGGCGATCCAGGCCGGCAGCGCCACCAGAGCTGGACCAGCGTGTAGTGACGACACGCTCGAAGGCGTCAGTCACGTCATGTCGGGCTCCGAAGCGATCATCGAGGAACGCTAGGAAATCCATGAAGGTCAGATTCCGACCCGCGTAGAAATCCTCCCAGGCGTCAAAAGGACCGCCACGCAGGCGCGTGGAGAGGTGACCCACCCACGTGTCGAGTGGGGCGCCCATGAGCTGGAGGGTGTGGGTGGCAGACTGTAGCCACCGAGACACGCGTATGCCTGTACCGTCATAAAGGCAATGTCCGTCAAGCAGACGAGTGGTGCGCCACCGTTTTGGCGGCGAGGGGATCGAGGAGCAGAGGCCTGTGCCACAGCTGAGTAAGTCGGCGCAGGTCCTGGAGAAAGGGGCGCAGCTGACTGTGCGCCCGTGCCGCCTGGGGGAGCGGCGGGGGCAACAGCGGCAGGCTGCGAGGGAGCTGCAGTAGAAGAGGTCGTAGCAACCGCGGGAATATGAAGAAGGTAGGATGGGGCTGGATAGGGTGCAGGGCGAGGGAAGCGAGCCTGCATGGAAGGAAGGGTAGAGGAAGGAGGGGGTGCGCCCGAAGGCGCGGCCACCTGTGAGGGTGGGGGTGGCTGAAGGCGTAAGAGGGCGAGGTCGGCCCGGGTCTGGGCAAGCTCGTCCTCGAGACGTTGGACGTAGATCGAGCGAGGAGTGGCAGGAGGATGAGTGGGGGAGGTGGACGCACGAGCGGCGCGGGGCATCCCAGAGGGTGAAGAGCCAGCTGGCGCTGCGGTCGTGCGAAGGGGAGAGAGAAGCGGGGCACCCGGAAAAGTTGAGACCATGGTAGCGGGTTGTGGTCCCGTGGCCGTAGTGACCGGAATCTGGGCGGGTGCGCCCGTAGACTGAGGGAGGGCGTGACTCATGGCGGCCGTCGAGCTAGGGGCGTGGAAGGCAAGGATTAAAAAAGACAAAACAAACATGAGGGGCACTGAAATCATTTATTTTTATCATTCTTTCTTTTAACTCCTCCTTGAGTATGCCTCTCATGTTCAAGGCTCGCCACGTTGATGAAGTTGAGCGCGAGCTGGTCGCATCTCCGTGTGCCATAACGACCCACTTGTATGCTGTGAGAAAGAGGCAGAAAAAAGGGGAAGGTGATAAGCACAGGGAAGAGAGATGAAGAGAAGATAAACGAAAAACCAAAAGGGAAAGTTAGGGAAGTACGGAGTGTGGAATGAAGATGAAGGCAAAGAAGAGGATAAGAAAAACTTGAGAGCGAGTCTGTCCTTGACAACAGAGAGGACACACATTGTAAGGATGAGGTGGGTGAGCACATGGAAGACCTAGTTGAGCAATATCAGCACAACAATTGCCACGACAGCTGGCATTGAGCATGCCCACCATACACTCCCGACAAATGGCATGTCGATTGCAGGCCAAAATGAAGGAAGAACCCTCACCATAGAAGACCATGCATTCAATATAGCGCCCATGGCCGCAAAATGGACATATAGCGTCCGGATGTAGAGGGTGCCTTCAGCCAGGAACGGAGGGACAATACTCTACACACATGGATGTAGAAACCATTTGATTGTAGTGATTGTGACAGAGACGATGGCGACTATAGCCGAGTGTAACAGTGTATGTAGCTATGCAAGCCCTTAGTCACGGTGCGCAACAACGCTCAAATGCGAGTAGCAAAATGACCCTTAGTCATGGTGCGCAACAGCGCACAGATGCGAATTGCCCTTAAGTGCAGTGTGTAGGCTGCGCACAGTTGCAAACTCAGATATGGCCCTCAAGTGTGGTGTGCAGACTGCGCACTGTTGCAGACTCGGATATGGCCCTCAAGTGCGGTGTGCAGGCTGCGCACTTGTTGCAAACTCGGATATGGCCCTCAAGTGCGGTGTGCAGGCTGCGCACTGTTGCAAACTCGGATATGGCCCTCAAGTGCGGTGTGCAGGCTGCGCACTGTTGCAAACTCGGATATGGCCCTCAAGTGTGGTGTGCAGGCTGCACCCGACGAAATGCTCAATGTGACTGCGCAATCGACCCGGTGTGACTGCGCAAGCAAAATGACTGCACAGGTGGTCTCAAAAATCGGCTTGATACACGGTAAGACTGCGCTTGTGGTATCAAAATCGACTTGTTACTCGCAGTGGCTGAGCAGGCGCAATCCCAAAAGTGGCAAGTACAGCCTCAAAATCACCATTCCTATTCAGAAAGCGCAGTGTCACACTTGAAGTGAAGTGCGCACAGTCGCATTTCCCCAAGATCATTCGGGCGTAATTTGTTGGYTGGGCGYGCAATGYYGCAATTTAAGTGCGCACAGTCGCAGTCCCTCAAGATCACTTTGGCAGAATCTTTGTGGATCGATTATGAAAAACCTCACTTAAAAGTCATGATTTGCGCAGTGTCGCATGTGAATGTGCACAGTCGCAGGAGCACTAGATGCTCTCAATAAAATTGACATATTCAGTTCGAGCGCCTCTTGGCACAATCAATCAGCGGACTATGAGCCGGCATACTTAGTTCAAGTGCCTCTTGGCACAGCCAATCAGCGGACTATAAACCGGAATACTCAGTTCAAGTGCCTCTCGGCACAGCCAATCAGCGGACTATAAATCAGCATACTCAGTTCAAGTGCCTTTTGGCACGGCCAATCAGCGGACTACAAATCGGCATACTCAGTTCAAGTGTCTCTCGGCACAGCCAATCAGCAGATACAATGCTCGTCGGTGTTTGTCTCAAGGTCAACTTTCAGATACTGCACAAGAGCGCACAGCTCATGGCCTATCATTAGATACAGTGCTTAGACATAGTGCGTACGAATCAGATACAGCGTGTCTACTACCCATGGAGGGTGAGTAAAAAGGAAAAAACGGAAGCGGTTGGAAAGAAGAAGGAGAGAGAAGAGAAGAGGAGAAGAGAAGAGGAGGAAAGAGAAGGGAAGAGAAAGGGAAAGTGAGGGGCAGAAAAGAGCGGCCTTATGGGATAGGCGACCAGGTGAACTCCAGACCCCTTCTTCCCAGCCACTCTTGCCCCTCCCTTTCCTTACCTCTCCCTTTACTTGCCTCCGGTTTGACTCTCTTGCCTCATGCTTCGGGCTCCCTTCTCGCTCCTACTGGCAGGTCGTTGTTCCTCGGTCGTGCCTTCCGCTCCCTGTTGTTCTGCCAAAGCTGCAGCGCTCCCGTAAGTGAGGGTTCTCTCACAGTCTGATCCGTGCCACTTGTGTCACGCATGCTGATCTGTCTCGTTGGGTGACGTGGCCTCTCATTTATAATGGAGAGGTCAAGAGATCGGAGTTGTGCTGCAGGCCCATGGTCGGGGCTGTGGTCAAACTCTAGACCAGGCCCATGCTAAAAATAGCAGCAGTCCCGACCTCGGGATATGAACAGTCAGTCCTATTTTTAGAACGGGACTGGCGCAGGCCCAGTTCCCGGTAGATGAACAGTCAGCCCCAAGTTAAAAATAGCGTGGGGCTGAGTTATTTTTAGAACGGGACCGGCGCAGGCCCGACTTTGGAAAATGAACAGTCAGTCCCGTGCTAA